TGTAGGCATTCACGATCAAAAAATGAACTCTGCACCTACCGAAAGGTCCCGTAGTTTATTCCATTGATTGTGTGCCAATCCAGAGCCTACCGATAGGTTCATATTGATTTAAGAATCCGTCGCCTACCTATTGTGCATATAATATGTGCATTTACGTTTGATAGGTGATAGATATATTCGAAAAACCTTTTCCACGTTTGTAGAGGATTTACGCTTCCGAGAATCTCCTCTTCGAGGTTTGGTAAGCGTAGCGAGCAATCGAGAACTCAAAAATAATTTCACACCTAAAAAGGTGTGTGCAGAAGGATTTTCAATAGGTTGCCGTCTAGAATAAAGCAGATTCCAAACATCAACAAGTTTAACGCTCAAATTAGAGAGTACCGAGTGTCAAGTAAGAAAGTACCACCCCTTGTAACTGTTTTATGTACGATCGAAAATAAAAAAGTTACAGGGGATGTTACTCTATAACTTGACACCCTGTACTAATAAACGCTTATTACTCAGTGGATGAATTTCCTAATGACAATTCTACAAACAAAATTTTATTAACGCATTTAGCTAGCGAGAGCTGACTGGTAGGATATACGGTTTAACACCTTCCAGTAGGCATTTGATCAATTGATGAAAAAGGACGTACCACTAGGCACTCAATCGGTGACTGAACAAAGCACCTACTGGTAGGCGTACGATCGTTGGATGACAAAGAGGACCTACCGGTAGATCTAGGGTTCACTCCCTATTTATATTCATGTGATGTAAACATATCATAAAAAAAAACAAAAAGAATATAATAATTCCAATCCGACTTTTTGAAAATACAGCTTTAAATACTACACAACAAAACATTCAAATTCTTCGTTAAAGTAGGTAATTAGGAATTTAATATTTTTGTATCTACGTCCTACCCACTAAACAGTAAACTCACTACATACAAACCAAAATCACTATGGGGGCTCTGCCCCCATAGCAAATTCACTATGGGGGCTCAAGCCCCCATTGCCCCCATGGTTCCGGCGCCTATGCAAAAAATGCTATAGCTAGGCCAACTTGAAACTCAGCCCCCCCCCACCGTTTTTTCAATTATTTTCATACTAAGGGTAGTTTTTAACAGACTCCCACGGCAGGTAAGGGGTTGTCCTTTGGAGGGAATATTTGAAATGGTTCTAGTTATCGTCCCAATCAAGTTTCAGAGCGTTACAGTTTTTCGAAATGTGTTTTTCCAATTTTTTTCTATCATTTTCATGCTTAGGGTAGTTTTTAACACACTCTGACGGCAGGTAAGGGGTTGTCCTTTGGTGGGAATGTTCAAAATGGTTCTAGTTATCGTCCCAATCAAGTTTCAGAGCGTTACAGTTTCTCGAAATGTGTTTTTCCAATTTTTTTCTATCATTTTCTTACTAAGGGTAGTTTTTAACACACTCTGACGGCAGGTAAGGGGTTGTCCTTTGGTGGGAATGTTCAAAATGGTTCTAGTTATCGTCCCAATCAAGTTTCAGAGCGTTACAGTTTCTCGAAATGTGTTTTTCCAATTGTTTTCTATTATTTTCGTACTAAGGGTAGTTTTTAACACACTCCGACGGCAGGTAAGGGGTTTTCCTTTGATGGGAATGTTTGAAATGTTTCTAGTTATCGTCGCAATCAAGTTTCAGAGCGTTACAGTTTTCCGAAATGTGTTTTTCCAATTTTTTTCTATCATTTTCTTACTAAGGGTAGTTTTTAACACACTCCGACGGCAGGTAAGGGGTTGTCCTGTGGTGGGAATGTTCGAAATGGTTCTAGTTATCGTCCCAATCCAGTTTCAGAGCGTTACAGTTTCTCGAAATGCGTTTCTCTAATTTTTTTCTATAATTTTCTTACTAAGGGTAGTTTTTAACACACTCCGACGGCAGGTAAGGGGTTGTCCTTTGGTGGGAATGTTTGAAATGATTCTAGTTATCGTCCCAATCAAGTTTCAGAGCGTTACAGTTTCTCGAAATGTGTTTTTCCAATTTTTTTCTATTATTTTCGTACTAAGGGTAGTTGTTAACACACTCCGACGGCAGGTAAGGGGTTTTCCTTTGAAGGGAATGTTTGAAATGTTTCTAGTTATCGTCCCAATCAAGTTTCAGAGCGTTACAGTTTTCCGAAATGTGTTTTTCCAATTTTTTTTTATCATTTTCTTACTAAGGGTAGTTTTTAACACACTCCGACGGCAGGTAAGGGGTTGTCCTTTGCTGGGAATGTTCGAAATGGTTCTAGTTATCGTCCCAATCAAGTTTCAGAGCGTTACAGTTTCTCGAAATGCGTTTTTCCAATTTTTTTCTGTAATGTTCTTACTAAGGGTAGTTTTTAACACACTCCGACGGCAGGTAAGGGGTTTTCCTTTGGAGGAAATGTTTGAAATAGTTCTAGTTATCGTCCCAATCAAGTTTCAGAGCGTTACAGTTTTCCGAAATGTGTTTTTCCCATTTTTTCTATCATTTTCATGCTAAGGGTAGTTTTTAACACACTCTGACGGCAGGTAAGGGGTTGTCCTTTGGTGGGAATGTTCGAAATGGTTCTAGTTATCGTCCCAATCAAGTTTCAGAGCGTTACAGTTTCTCGAAATGTGTTTTTCCAATTTTTTTCTATTATTTTCGTACTAAGGGTAGTTGTTAACACACTCCGACGGCAGGTAAGGGGTTTTCCTTTGAAGGGAATGTTTGAAATGTTTCTAGTTATCGTCCCAATCAAGTTTCAGAGCGTTACAGTTTTCCGAAATGTGTTTTTCCAATTTTTTTTTATCATTTTCTTACTAAGGGTAGTTTTTAACACACTCCGACGGCAGGTAAGGGGTTGTCCTTTGCTGGGAATGTTCGAAATGGTTCTAGTTATCGTCCCAATCAAGTTTCAGAGCGTTACAGTTTCTCGAAATGCGTTTTTCCAATTTTTTTCTGTAATGTTCTTACTAAGGGTAGTTTTTAACACACTCCGACGGCAGGTAAGGGGTTTTCCTTTGGAGGAAATGTTTGAAATAGTTCTAGTTATCGTCCCAATCAAGTTTCAGAGCGTTACAGTTTTCCGAAATGTGTTTTTCCCATTTTTTCTATCATTTTCATGCTAAGGGTAGTTTTTAACACACTCTGACGGCAGGTAAGGGGTTGTCCTTTGGTGGGAATGTTCGAAATGGTTCTAGTTATCGTCCCAATCAAGTTTCAGAGCGTTACAGTTTTCCGAAAAAAATTTTTTATATTATTTTCACACTAAGGGTAGTTTTTGACACACTCCGACGGCAGGTAAGGGGTTATCCTTTGGTGGGAATGTTAGAAATGGTTCTGATGATCGTCCCACTGAGTTTGATGGTGTTACACTCTCCCGAAATGCGCTTTTCCAATTATTTTAATAATAAGGGTTGATCCCAGCCTGACGGCAATGAGGGGTTGTTCTTCGAACTAGACGTACTTGAGGGCTATGTTAAAGACTATTCTAAATTTCAGGGTGTTATATTTTATTTTAGAAAAGTTGTTTTGTAGATATTAATGTTCTACTTGATGTTTTATTAGGGGTAGTTTTTTTTTTTTTTTTTTTCTGTTGTACTTTGCACGAGGGTATATAATAATAATGTACACAAAATTTGTAAATCAACCATTTAAAAAAAAAAGAGCTGCCAAAAAATGGCTGCTAACTTCACAATTTTGGCTGCTACAAATGGCTGCTAACTTCACATTTTTGGCTGCTGCAAAAAGGCTGCTAACTTCACACCGGTAAGCACTTTTGGGAGCTTGAAGCACTTTAAAAGGGCACTTTGAAAGGAATTTGAACTGACCATCATTCAACCTATCCCCCACTTGAAAATTTTCGATTGTATTTTGTCCTTTAATTTTTTTCTTCTATTATTTGAACTTGAACCGTCTTATGTCTTTTCTCTCTTAACAATGGAGGTTTTGGGTTTGAGCTTAGAATGGAATTTAAAAAAAAAAAGTATGAACTTATTATTCAAATAAATAATTAATTTATATTGGTATCTATTTAACTTTATCACTGGATTTTTTTCACTTTTCCCCATTGAACATTTTGGAAACCTTAAAATTGAATTACCATGTAGTACCCCAACTACCCCAACTACCCCAAGTACCTACCCCAGAACTACATCTCAAAAAAAACATACTACTGCTACTCTGTGAAATGTAAAGTTCGTCTCTACTATACCAATTCTGTGTGATGAGTGTATGCAGTAGCTTATGCCACTTTGAGAATTTTATCACAAATTCAAAGTGCTTTAGGCACATATAAAGAGCTTCAAGCACAAATTTAAAGAGCTTGAAGCCCTTTTCAAGGCACCCCAAGCACTTTTGATGTGCTTCAAGCACTTTTCACTTTGAGGGCTTTGTGCTTGTCAAGCCCAAAGCACTTTGAAGGCTTTGTGCTTGTGAAGCACTTTTGAAAATAAAAAGGAATTTGTGCTTGAAATTGAAGCACTTTGATAGAGGGCTTAGGGCTTAGTGCTTCAAGCCCTTTTACTGAGGGCTTTGCCCAGCTCTGCCTGGACGCTAATAATTAATTAATTTTTGTAATGATTTTGATATATATAATTTAGGGCCCTTTTATGTGACTTAATTTTGAATTTAGACATATGAAAAACAATAAGTATACGAGACCAGTAAAGTAATTGCTTTGAAGTTGAAAAAAATTGCAAATACGAAAAATGCTCAGAAAATCCAAAAATCCTCTTTAAATTTCTGATTAGTATACGAACTTCTAAGAGTGAGTATGGCACTATAAGTAACTATATTCATGCTCTAAAGTAAAAAAAAAAACTATGCTGTGATAAACTCTTATGATAGCTAATACTCCTGAATTATGAACTAATTTTTTGGTACCTACCCACCTTACACCTAGTATATTTGAAATCAGGTTTGAATCCAATGAGGTGTACCATTTAAAAAAGTATAACATTGTTTCCCCACACTTTTGTGACATACCATTGCAAAATTTGTAATATTACCTAAAACTTTTTTAGAATTTGGATTGTCGTGTTTCAGATATGCCCCATTTTTTGGACGTAATCCGTTTGCAAATTGCATGTTTCCTAACGCTGCAATGAACCGATCTGGTTGGACTTTATTCGTATACAATTTACACCTCGAAACCGAGGATAACGAACTCTGGCAGTTATTCGGTCCGTTCGGAGCTGTTCAAAGCGTTAAAGTCATGCGTGACTTACAAACGAACCAATGTAGAGGATTTGGATTTGTTAAAATGACCAACTACGTTGAAGCTCTATCAGCCATTGATTGCTTAAACGGTTACGAGTTGTGTAATCGGAAACTTCAAGTCAGCTTTAAAACAGCTAGTAGTGGATCGACAAGAAGTGACGGTTCGTCTCAGATCTCGTGTACCTACCTAACTTAATAAGTTTAGCAAATTTTCATTTTTCTATTGTTCTCATCGTTATTTTGCAACATTTAAGCATTTAGCATGTAACTTATTTTCTATTTTGTTTATTTAACTTGGTTATTCTCTGTTCTGTTTTTTTTTTTTAAATATTTTGTTCATTTTTTCGTTATTACTAGTCTTGAAGACAGGGTTTTCCACATGGTTTTTTGTATAAAGTTTGTACGCTTGCTTGAACGCCATTAACAGCAATGCTTTGGCGAGGCCACAACAAACTATTTGATTTTTTGATTTCGATTTTTAAAACCCATGGATGGAAAAAGTTGAATTACTAGATTTTCACTAGACATATTTATTAAGACTAATACAATGATGCCTTATTAGACTGATAAATGCTATAGGCAGCTGAAATAATGATCATAAGTCATCTGGCAATTTTTAAATTCTGGCATTAAAAAATTACAAATTACATAAAACTATTAATCGTAAAATATGCTTTTGTCAGGAATTAGGGAATTTTGACTTATACTATGTGGTGTTGACAGAGTAAAAATTAATTCAAACTTTTCTAATCATGGATTTTAGTTTAGTTTAGTTTTCATTTATGTACTTAAGTTTTTTTTCTAGTCTTGTAGATCTGTTTTTTGTTTGTTATTTATATAATTTATTAGTTTGGTTCTTCATTTATTACTATTTTTGAATGTATTATCTTGATTTATTATTTTTTCTCAGAAATTAAAGTTTATATATTTTTAATTGTTATTTTTTTTATTTCTCTCTGCACACCTCCAAAATATGTGCCATTTTTAGCAGAGAGACCTACTAACTAACTAACTAAGGAAGAGGATACAGAATCAAGACGGTGAATGAGAATTTAAAAATAATCTGATGCTGAAGAAATGCATTAAGCTCTTATTTACCATTTGAAATTGATTAGCCGAACATTTTGAATTCGGTGCGCGAAGCCAAATTTTTCTACCGGCTGGTGAAAGCACATACCTACTCGCTACGAAAACCGTTCGGCAAGCTGGTACGCTCCCTTCGTAACTTGCATCCTGATTCGAAGGGAGCATCTCGTTTTTGCAACTTTTTCGAAACGCCCAAACTTTCTACTGTACCTACAGAGTGGGCCAATTTGGACACTTTTAATATAGGGAACGTCAATTTCTGAGCGAGATACAAAAAAATGAACCCCCCACTCTGAGGCTCAAATTTCATGAAATTTTGATTGGTGCAAACCGCATTTTGACATCTTCAACGTTTTAGCCGCTGGAGGGCGATTCTCGATTTTGAGCAATATTGTCAAACCTTCATAACTCTTTTGTTTATGAAGATAATTGATTTCCGCAAAAACTTTCTGGAAGCACTTTTTCAAGCAGAATTCAGTGATGTTCTCAGTTTTGTTCCATTTGGCGCCGATTTTGATATAGTGACCCAAGTCTGATTTTTTTCAATAGGACACTCTTTATATTAATAGCTCATTGAAAAGCATATGATATTTCTGATTTTAATGATATAAAGTTTGATAGGTTTATCTCTAACCGTTTTCGAGAAAAAATGAGAAAAACCAAAATATTTTTTTTTCTCAAAAACTGTTCGAGATAAACCTATCGAACTTTATACCATTAAAATCACCAAATGCAGAGCTTTCCAATAAGATATCAATATATAGGGTGTCCCATTGAAAAAAAACGAACTTTGGTCAATATTTCGAAGTTGAGGCCAATTGGAAAAAAATTTGGAACGTCACTGAATTCTACTTCAAAAAATTCTTCTAGAAAGTTTTTACGGGAATCAATTATTTTCATAAACAAAGAAAGTTATGGAGGTTTCACATTATTGCTCAAAATCGAGAATCGCCCTCTAGCGACTAAACGGTTGAAGATATTAAAATGCGGTTTGCACCAATCAAAATTTCATGAAATTTGAGCCTCAGAGTGGGGGGTTAATTTTTTTGTATCTCTCTCAGAAATTGACATTTCCTATTAAAAGTGTCCAAATTGGCCCACCCTGTACATCAGAATTTGAACAATCCCCAGAAAAATTCGTCAGAATTTCTAATTGCTTGGGTACTTATCGGGATATCTACGTGAATACTTACGATTTATTAATTTGACACATTTTTTTTTAACAATAAACAAGAAAGAGTAACCTACCGGGGTAACTTTGTGACATGTAATTAGTATGGGAGAAACTTATGCTCAACCTAAAACAACGCTAAAAGGATCGACATGTCTCCTTATGTGGACGACTTCCTATGGGTGGAGTTCACATCCCAATTTCTGGATGAATATGAGGGTGATAAATACTATATCGTACGATATACAATAAAAGTTTAAAATGTCTAAATCAGTATATACCTGTGTTTTTAATATCAGAAAATTATCAATAGTAATATAACTAGTGCAATGGAAATTATTGATAAATTGTCGATCCGATCGACAATTACGTTTGTTTTTTTCACGAAAACGCTGTTAGCTGAACCGTCAGTCTGGTGTCGAGTGTTTCAGTGTAAAAAATTCACAACGGATGAAGTCTAGAATAAGGTAATATGTTTACTTTGAAATTTGCTACTTATCTACTATCTTCTGCAAACTTAGGATATATGTATACTCCTCTCATTAAATATATTAAATTTCAGGCCTCCATTATGGATCAAATAGATATATTAATAACTCAATATTTCAAAATGGGGCTGCAGCATGTAGAAATTTTACAATTTCTTCGAAATATCCATGGAATATTCATAAGTTTACGGACTCTTAAAAGGCATCTCCAGAGGCTTCGTCTTTCCAGAAGAACTTTCAGTCCTCTACAAGATGTGTATAACTTCGTAAATGGTGCTGTAGCTGCTTCTGCTGTTGAAAGTACTTTCAGCACACGTATTCAAAGTATTTTCGGCACGCGTGTGATATTTAGAGCTTTCTAACGAGCCAGCCAGTGCGAATTTTGACATTTTCGTATGTGGTCGTAGGAAAAGTTCTATTTCTGCTGGTTACCGAGGAACCCGGTGATTACAAACAATTTGGGATACAGTGTAGATACCTACATAAATGGTGTTACAGTGAAGTTAAGATATATTTCAATTTCAGGAAGAACTGGATCAAGTTGCTTTTGAATGGAATACCCATAGAATAAGACGTTCTCGAAATTCAAGAGGTCCAACGGGACGCCCAATTTGTATGTTCGAACTTCCAGAAAATTACGGACGTGCGAACTGTTTAGTACATATTCCTCAAGAAATAATCAACGTCATAAAAGAAGATAGAGATGTCATAAGGGAAATACCTTTTTGCGATAACGATGTGAAAAATCTTTGCGACTCTATTCTCTGTGAACGAGAATATATAAGACCAAATGGGTGTAATGCTGGGGATGCAATTAATTTATATTATACATTAAGGACTCAAATTTTACATTTATTGCAAACAGTTTGAATATCTATCTAGTATAGATAGGTACCACAATGTAAATGTAGCTTATTTCTGCGGTACTTAATATATAATTTAAAGAAGAAAACGTAGGTTGCAAGAAAAATACATTCATTTATTGTTTTCACATTTTTAATTGTCTAGGTAGGTACCAACCTCTTGGTATCCAAATATAAGTTGGTAATGAATCAATAATAACAATAGTTGAGTTCGGTTAATCCTACGCGAACTAAAAGATGCCATTGTTGACAGAAGCTCACGTGATTCTTTATTTGAAGTATCAAAATTGATCTCGTGTGCATCTGTCAACAGTCTACACCAGACTGACGGTTCAGCTAACAGCGTTTTCGTGAAAAAAACAAACGTAATTGTTGATCGGATCGACAATTGTCGATCGGACCGACAATTGTCGATTGGACCGACAATTGTCGATTCAAATACACGTTAAAAAATATATATTGATGTTGGCCCTTCTACGCCTTCGTACCAGTTAGTATGCAATTATCTGATAATTTGCACTAGTGCAAATTATCGCGTAATTACAATCTGATTGATTCAAATCAACAATCAAAACATGTCAATTTATTGTTGGAATACCAGTTTTGACAGATGTATGAATAAATTCTTAAGGATATATTTCTTGACATTTCCTATCGTTTCAGACTAAAAATGACGGGGTTACATTATGTTTTCATTGTAAAAACGCACTGTCACAAAGTTACTCCGCATCACGGGGTGAAATTGTGACACTTTCAAATTTAAAAAAAAAAGCTGTTTTTTTTTTTCAATATTCCAGAACTGCCATTTTGTAGCGAAAGAATGGATATACATAGTGTATTTTTTTTAGAATTTTATGTGGCAAAGAAATGTTTCAGAATTTCAAAAAACCCCCAAATCTGTCACAAAGTATATCCCCGTTTTACGGTATCATTATATGCTCCTTGAAGAATATACTATTAAAATTAGAAATTTTCACAATGAATAATTTAACATTAACGTAAGTAAAATCTGTTTTCTTTTTAAAAGATAATTCCCCAATTCAAAAATTTAGAAACCATGTTGGCATCAGCACCCTTTTCTTTTCTACATAAAAAAATTGTATTAACAATTTTACATTGTATTGCCAACATAATGTCATTTTGACTTTTATCTTAAAAAAACAGACTTTACGTAAGTTAACTAAAATTCATGGTTGCAGGTTTACTGGTAGTTTCAATAATAGGTCTGTTTCTGCAGAAATCACAAACCAGTCAGAGCAAATTTCATTGGATGAAAACAGTCAGACTTATTAATATCGGTGTTCTGGTAATCGAAGAAATATCAATAGCAAAATTGATGACGCCATTAGCAGACGTAGATGGACATGAATCGGCATTCGCAATAGGTACTGCTAAAATTTAGATTGATTTGGTGCAAAATTCTATCTATCAGCCGCTTCTTATCATCTCGTCATTTTTATTTATCTCTGTTTGGTACATTCCAAACAGCAAAGACAACACATTTTTGAAAGAAATGGGTGTTTGAAGAATGATTGTTCATTTCATGAACTAAGACGGTAATCAACCTTTATATTTTTCTGCCATTCTCAATGAATTAGGATTAGGACATATGTTTTTACCTCTGGATGACGTAACTACAAAATGAAGTAGACTCTTTTCGGAATAAAAAGAATTAGGTACATTTTATAGAGCGCTAACGACGACAAAACGAGACTCAAGACTACTCAAGAGATATATTGCTAAATAGGATAATATGTGCATCAAAACTTTGGATTAGTTAGAGGAATTAGAAATCCTGCTTTTTTTCGTCTTTTGATTTTTGTTATCTGGTAGCATTGTAACGGATAGAGATTGTTCGCCAAAGTATTGACATCTTTGCTTGTCTTTCTGTTGTTGCTATTAGAAGGAAATTGCTACCATTCTTGCTAGATATTTCTTAAAATAGGTTGTAGATTTTTTTGGAAATTACAACAGCTTAGTTTTAGGTATGCCGTAAAACTATATTGTAATAGTATTTTACATTATTTAGCCAGGTAAAACAGTTTTTACTGGTGATTGAAGGAAATGACTAGCGAGCCGTCAGGCGAGCTTGTCACCTTCAAGAGCCAGTAAAAACTGATACCTGGCGTATGATGTACAATAATTTATTTGTTACTCATTTGTAAACAATCTTAAACAATTAATAAAAAATTAATACATATAGGTAATACAATTTTAATAAATAATTCTCTGACCCTACTGACTTGTAAAAAGTTTTTACAGTTTAGCTGTCAATTTTACAAGTCAGTAGAGCCAGTAACTGGTAAAAATCAATTTTCGTTGTTTATGTTTTGACTTGTTAAATGACGTTTTACAAATGAGTGACAAATAAATTGTTTTTCATTGTTATTGTAAATTGGCTGTGCCGACTTGCTGTAAACAATTAAATTGAACAAAAGCAGAATAAAAAAAACCAACCCAGTGATACTTTAAACATATGTTTATTAAATAAAATTTTCAAAAACAAATCTGTAAGAAACAAACTATAATATAGGATACTTATAGCTGGCATAAAAATTGAAATTAAAGCAACATCCGGAGACTTCCATTCCCCCTTGTATACAATCACCTCAAACTCTGTATTATTATATAAATACATAATATACTTTTTTTGAGGAATCTCTAATATGCAAAAAAAACATGGCGTGGAGGGAATGAAAACCAGCGAAATACTTAACAAAAAAGAGAAAAATATATAATACCATCATGAAAATGTGTGTAAATTTTATCATATAAAAGACTTAAATTACTAAAATTATTAGTACACAAAAGCTAAGTTGCTAAAAGACGGAGAAAAAATACAATTATTTTCGAATCAAAATTTACTTAGGAATGAGAGGTTTTTCTCAAGAAGTCATTGTTGCTCTCATAACACTTAAATAAAACTTTGATTCTTACAAATATAATAAACTAACAAAAAAAAAAAATGGGACCTTTACAAATTTGAACTTTGTTTCAATGTCATGGATAAAAACACTTATTACAGGGGAAAGATACATTCATTATACATCTCTATTTTTCTTTAATATACTTTTACAATAGTATTAGCTATTTCATTTTTATTTATTTTTTCAACGCCACTCTAATTCTTTTTTTTTTGTATTTTGTTTTTTTTTTTCAATACACTTATTGTCGAAAAAATCGGACTTAAAACCAAATATCTTCATAAACGGTTTGATATATTGTGCAAATTTGAACTGTTGATGAAGAAATCATCTCTTAAAGCAAATCAGGGTCCCTCAGAATCAAATAATTTTTATATATTGAAATAGGCTACAAGTTTTTAGCTGCTTTTTTGCAATGGTACATTAAATAATCTGGAATGTAGTTAGTTTTTGAAATAATGATTTTTTTTTGAACACACTGTGAGATTCGTATATACGATAAATTTAAAGCACCTGTGGCGTAATTTACACATATAAAAAAAATAAATTATAAAAAAAAATCAGTGTCAAACACATTAAAGAAAAAAAAAAAAACCTTACACCAAAAGCTAAGTTTAAACAAACACAAAAAAAAAAACTGGGTGATAAAGTGAGATCGTGTGACTCACTGTTTTGATAACTTAAAAACTAATATAATGAAAATTGTCGTAATATACAAAAGCTAGCTTAATGCAAAAAATGCTTAATTTTGAGGCGAAAGCTGAATAATTTCTCTTTTGAAAATGTAAATAGGAGCTAGCCACGGTTAGTCTTGGACATAATCTGAAAAGAGAAAGAAAAATTGATTAGATTTATGAACAATGCACAACAACCTGAACTTTTTTAAGAAAGTTGAATTATTTCCAAAAACTTTGAATATCGTATCTCCAACTGTAAACATTAATCTGAAATTTCCTGAGAATGTCGTAGAAGTAGAATACAAATTTTGCTAATTTTATTCCATTGGGGATTATACTTTCATAACTTTTAAAAATACAGCTTTGCCACGTGACATGAGTTTGTCAGTAATAGGCGCTGACTAAACAATAAACTAGCTTACTGTGCTTTTCATCTTTATATAAGTAATTTCTCGACAATGTTAATTTAGTCAGTTGAATTTTGTAACGATTAAATTTTTGAAGCTAAGTCTTGAATTTGGAATTTTCAATTAGGAAATGAAAATGTTTAAAACGTCAATCCGGTTTACGACATGTTAACTCGTAGCATTTTTACCTTAATCTTAATCTCGTTTTCTTTTATTGCTGCTGCGCGGCCTGCTGCTGAATCTCAATTTTCTCTACAGTCATATCGGGATTCATGGCTGTCGCTTCTTGGATGGCTTCGGCCAGGGCTCGGTCATGATCTATCGGATCACCATCGGATTGAATAGTGATTTTTTGTTCTACTCTGGTCTCGACAACGCCATCTCGTTCGGTTTTGTACTAGAAACAAAAATAGTATTAAAAGGTGTTGTGAATTGTGTTTGTCATATGTCGCAAATCCATAAGAAATAAAGATTCTTACCGTAATCGTTTCAACAGTCCTCGTTTTCGAACTAATAGTCTGCGAGCTGACAATCTCGCCAGTTTTCGTATAGCTGCCATCGTCGGAAGTGAGTTGCACCTTTCGAGCTTCAGTTGCCACAATTGGCACGCTGGTGGTTGAGGTTTGGAACACTGCGGGGTCGCCACTGTACATCACCGATTCGGTTTTCACTATGCCACCGGAGAGGTCCTCCTATATTAGAATAATTTTTGGTTTAGTTACATAGTGTAGGGCAATTTATTTGCTGAATTCGTGTTTTGAAATATTTCCGGTAACTTACCAACCATTTAACTTTATTTTAATTCTTAAATAGTAAAATTATTCATGCTTTTTGCCCTAGGTACTAAAAACTACACACACATTTAAAATCACATGCCCATTAAAAAATTTATAAATTATGCATTAAACAAACACACGCAACATTCCAATATAATGTTAAATTAAAATCGTGAGATTCAACGATGGATTGTTAAAAATAAATACTCACCAGTGTAAATATAAATAAAAAAAAACCCTATGACGTTACATAATTAGATCCTAATTAACGGTAATTATTTTAAAAACACTTCAATGTTCAATGTTGTCTTAATAATTGATGAAAAATAACCTTGTTTTGAAGAAATCTCTGAATAGAGTCATGTCTGTTCTATACAACTTAATATACGAAAGCAAAATACACAAAATTGAAAATGTATCCAAAAGAATTGTACCACATGCTGCCTATGCTGAAAATTGTACAGGGTGATCCAGTATAAAGTGAACCTTTTCGCTAAAAAAATTATTTTTCAAAAAATCAAGATAGCCATTTGGCGTATTTTTTTTCTAAGAATTTGAGAACGTTTTTCGAAATTCAATTAGATTTTTTGTTGAAGCGCTGTGATCAAAAAAGTTATTTTTTTTTTAAAATGGAATAACCTATATTTAAATCAATTTTTCAAACGCCCCTATTTTTCTCATTCCAAATATATAGTTTGTTTATCTTTATTTTAGTAATTTGAGATATAATCTCACTTTAAAATTCACATAAAAATAGCCGAAAAGGTATCCTAAAACATAATAACCAGTAGTTTTTAAAGGTAAAATTATTTAGATTTACCTTGATACCTTATTTTCGGCTATTTTTATTTGAATCTTAAGTGAGAATATATCGCAAATTACTAAAATAAAGATAAACAAACTATATATATTTGAAATGAGAAAAATAGGGGCGTTTAAAAAATGGATTTAAATATAGGTTATTCCATTTAAAAAAATTACTATTTTGGTCGTAGCGCTTCAACGAAAAATCTAATTGAATTTTGAAAAACGTTTTCAAATTCCTAGAAAAGAAATAAACCAAATGACTATCTTGATTTAAAAAAAAAAAAAAAAAATATGGAAAAGGTAGGGGGTGTTCACTTTATACTGGATCACCCTGTACATTAATTTGCCTTTATTTGGTTCAATTTTCCCAAACTTTTGCCCAATTCTCAATTGTTGCTAAATCTTCTTTACAGTTCATGATATTGTTTTTCCTAATAGGCGTAAGGTAGCAAATCAGCAACCTGTAAGGCAGCTTATTGAAGGCTTTCCCAAAATCCAAATATAATCACATCATCCGTTCAGCAGGGTCAAAACTTTTGGTCCAATTATCAAGACATTTTGTCTTTGATCAGCTTCAATTGTGGTTGAATGTCAATGGAGAAATTAAACGATATAACTTAGAAAACGATTGTTATGTCCCTGTCGTCAAGTAGAATCTGTTTTCAATTTTGTCAGCTCAAGACAGACAACCAAAAAGTCGGTTCATTTCCACATCGGAGGCTTGTCATTATAAGCTTGAAGAGAAAACGATTTTAATTGAAAATAGAAGTGAACTTGATAATCTTAACAAATTAGTCCCAAAAATAGTCAAACCTCAAGTTACAGAGATCAGTGTAAAATGCTAACATGCAAGACTGGGTCATCAGAATAAGAGACATGTTGAAGATAAAGCGAGGTTTAGGAATGAAAGTACCTCTTGATACCAAGTTATGTGAAGGCTGTATATTGATTTGGTCTAAAATTTGGTTTCCAAGAAAGAACTACAAAATCAAGAGACAGAATTCTCTTTGATATATGTGGGAATTTTGTACCTTGGTCTATTCAAAAATAACTACAGTAAGTACTTAGGAGTATTCTTTATGAAAGAAAAATCAGAATTTATTAAGACACCTTAGCACATTTTTGGAAGAGGCAAAAGTTGCAGGTCATGTTGATGAAGAGTTCTTGTTCTTGTGGGACAATGGAGATGAGCAGATTACAGAAATTTTGAACAAGCATTGAGTTTATCAAAAATTAATCATGCTCCCAACAAAATGGTTGTTCAAAAAGAGACAACAGAACCATTGTAGAGATAGCAAGAGTAACGATGCATACAAGAGAAAGGTATTGTAATAAGTTTGAAATAAACGGAATCGCCTCTTCTAGGAGTTTCAACTATCAACTTGTGTCATTATGTAATATCGATAGATGTCGAGAAAATATAGGTAATGGTAATAGTTACACCGAAGAATATGTGTGCCTTTAATTTGCATCCCTTGTAAACCTTTCACTAGAGTCCTTTTTTAATAGGTTATGGGCCCAGGACCTAAGTTTACGCGATCGTGGGTTGAAAAGTGAAAGTTTCAACGCAGTATCAGTTTTCTGATTCGGTATACAGTTTTTTTCGAGTGTAGTAAACAAATGACCGTGACTATCTCAACAGCGTCCCCAAGTCGGTCGGCAAGAATTATGACAAGTAGTACTTATTCGCGGTTGAGAATGTCTTTATACTCGAGGGTCTTTCTAAGTGCGTTGACGGCTCCGAGACAGACAGTTCCGCAGTGGCAATAGTTGAGGCCACATTCGTGTTGACATTAGACCCCTCCTGATATGTACATATAAAGGGCGCAACCACATGCAAGGAAGCCTGGGATAACATCAAGAATCTTTACGAGTAGCATTCACCAGAAAATTTGGGCTATTGCGCAAATTTCATTTCGTTGACGTTGAACAATTGTGAAAATAGGCGGGATAGTCCAGGAGGTGGCGCCAAAAACATGCAAGAGTTTTCGCAAGGCGGATATTTTCAAAATAGGTCGTACTTTAGTGCCAGAATGCTAGTGTACAGTCAGCACTCACAGTTCCGGGACAGCTGGCTCTGGGACGCGGGCAAAGTTGTAATTTTAAGAAGCATCTAAAGTGTTTTCTCAAAGCTCAAAATTTATAGAAATTTTGCACATTATCTGTTTGAAGGTCACAGATAACGTATGTAAATCGTCAGACGTCTAGTTCGTTGCAAAAAGGGGGTCAGACGTCCTCAAAGTTCTTATTTTATGGCATTTTCTTCGGTGTCCTGTCAAAATATATTTTTGCAGGTTTTTGACAAATATATTTGAAGAAAATGCCATAAAATAAGAACTTTGAGGACGTCTGACCCCCTTTTTGCAACGAACTAGAAGTCTGACGATTTACATACGTTATCTGTGACCTTCAAACAGATAATGTGCAAAATTTCTATAAATTTTGAGCTTTGTGAAAACAGTTTAGATGCTTCTTAAAATTACAACTTTGCCCGCGTCCCAGAGCCAGCTGTCCCGGAACTGTGACTGCTGACTGTACACTAGCATTCTAGCACTAAAGTACGACCTATTTTGAAAATATCCGCCTTGCGAAAACTCTTGCATGTTTTTGACGCCAGCTCCCCAACTAGGAGTCTTACGGTGATTTTGGGGAAAAACAATTTTGATATAAGTGAAGAATGAGACGATTTCAAATGGTGGCTCAAAATACTTCCTGCTTCTTGCTGACGACTGTTCAAGAATGCCCTTTGTTCATTTTCTAATGGAAAAAAGTGAAGTTTATGACTATTTCAAGCAGTTTAAACCATGGTAGAAAAGCAAACAGGCCAGAAGCATGAAAGCTTTTCGCAGTGAACAAGAAAGGTGGTGAGTTTTGTAGTAATAAATGTGACAGCCTTTTTAGGGCAGAAGGCATTGTACAGGGTCTGTTCCTTATAATTAATGGGGCTCCTACAACTTAAACAAAAGAAAATACAAAAAAAAGTTAAATACCAAAGTTGTAGGGTTTTATCTCTATAATCTTTCGTATATGTCAAAATGGGCAAATAACAGGTGCCAACTGTCATAATGACAGCTTTTGCATTTTTTTAAATGGAACACCCTGTATATTTTTAGCTAGGATGATATACTTTCTTCTTCTGATTTCAAATATACCATATATGTTGATATTTGGTTCAGCTATTTTTTCGCTATTCAAGTTTAAAAATGCATTCACATTACCCTAAATTAGGTCTGTTCTCGGTTTCTAATAATAATGATGAGGCTTGCTCAATGTAATTTTAAAATGAAATAGCGCAAAAACAGCTAAACCAAATATCAACATATATATGGTATATTTGAAATCAGAAGAAAAAAGTATATCATCCTAACCAAAAATATACAGTGTGTTCCATTTGAAAAAATGCAAGTGCTGTCATTATGACAGTTGGCACCTGTCATTTGCCCATTTTGACAAGTGCAAAACATAGCAGAGATAAAATCCTACAACTTTTGCATTAAACTTTTTTTTGTATTTTCTTTTGTTTAAGTTGTAGGAGCCGCACTTATTATGAGGAACAGACCCTGTACATCAGAAGACAAATGCTTACACCTCTGACGAAAATGGTCTTTCAGAAAGTCACAACCCTACACTCGTAGAAAAAGCGAGATGTCTACTTTTCAATGCAGGTCTGCACAAAAGGTTTTGGGCGGAGGCCATCAATAGGTCTAATTATTCAAAAAATAGATGCATCGCTAGTGGCCTAAGCGGAAAAGCACCTTTTGAATTGTGTACTGGTGAGAAACTTGCTGTTTCAGGATTACGTGTCTTTGAAAGTACAGTCATGCATGACTCACGTTCCAAAACAGAAGCGCTTGAAATTTGACAAAAAGTCTTACGAACATATTTTAGTTGTTTTCTCAGATCATATCAAAGGCTATACGATTTACAACCCAGACACTGATGATCCTTGTGTTCGGTATTTTGATCAAAGACCAGAGCGTGCTGAGCTAAGCCGTAATCACGTGACCAGCGAATGAAGAGGAGTTGAACGAGCAGAGTCCCCGAAATTTCAATAAAAGAACGCATGAGCCTGCACCGAGCACACTTTTTAAATAAACGAACGGTAAATTCAAGCTCGGAGAACTCAGATGACAATACCGAACGTACGGGATTCGACAACATTTAGAGATTCAACATGAAAACTTGAAAACCAACAAGATGGATATTAGCCATGAAGCGACAGAGGCGGAATCAGTTTGAGTGGGGAAGAGTAAGCACAATTTAGAGCAAGATAGTTTCAAATCTTTGCATGAAAAAGAGAATAGCTCAGCTGGTTCATTTGGGAGTTTATCTCCACACTCTCTACCCAATGCACAGTTTCCAACTCATCTAGACTCTGCAGACAGTGCCTATGTGCCAGATAAATGTTGTCGATCAAGAAGTTGTGACAAAATCTCAAAGGACAAAGCGAGAGAAGCACTTCAATGACTACGTAACATATCTGAGTACTGCTGTCAAAATGCTACTTATTTACCAGAGGAGGCTCCTGTGACAATGGCAGAGGCATTGTCAAGGCCATATTATAGTCGTTGCAAGGAGGCTATACAGCATGAATATAAAGTGTTTAGTACAAAATGACACTTGGAAAATGGTAGATGCGCCAGTGAAAAGTGCAGTAGTTCAATGTGATTGGGTGTAAAAGATTAAGATAGATAAGGATAGTAACAAGACCAAGCCATGCTAGGCTAGTACCTAAGGACTTCACCCAAAAAAGGGAGTGGATTTTCATGAAACATTCTCATCTGTTGTGAGACATTCCACACTTTTTTTTTTGATAGCATCAAGTGTTAATATAGGACTTGATATTTCTCACGATGTCATCTCAGGTTTTTTGCATAAGAAATTAGAGGAGACTATTTTTATATGAAGCAACCAGAGGGTTTTGAAAACAAAGTTTCAAAGCTCAATCGAGCAATTTATGGTCTCAAACAATCATCCAGGGTTTGGTATAAAAAGGTCGAAGTATTATTGACTAACCTTAAGTATACAAAGTCCAGGTTTGAACCTTGTGTTTTTATGAAAAACAGAAACATCTTAATAACAATGATTACTTTGTACATCAACGATTTTTTCCTTTTTTCCAATGATAAAGTAGAAACGGGAAAAATGTAGTTGAAGCTAAGAAAATTTCAGGAATGAATATCTGTATGGATAAAGTTAAAAATGTTATTACTTTAGATCAGAGTCACAGTGAAAACTGTGGAGACACCTATGGAGAAAAATATGAATTTGGGTAAAGGCAAAGAACCTTTTTTTCCAGTGCCATATCAGCAGTTGATTGGCAGCCTGATGGATTTGACTGTAATGACTAGACCTGATATCTCTTTTAGTGTGAGTCAATTTATTTGAAAATGTACATTGGCAGATTGGCAGCATGCAAAGAGACTTTTAAAGTACCTTAAAAAGACTAGAGATTATTTTCTGAAATTTGAAAAGAGTTCTGGTCACTTAGTGGGACACATGGATGCTGACTGGAGCAGCAACATTGTAGCCAGAACGTCTTATACTGGGTTTTGTATCAGTTTTCCAAAGTCTTTGATTTCTCGGGAGAGCACCAAGCAGAAAACAATGGCTCTATCCAGTATACAGCATAGAAGCCAAAATTTCCCTCAGAAATTTGTGGCATGGATTAGTTGGTTCTTTTGATGAAGTTATTTTATATAGTGATAACCAAAATGCACTTAGGCTTTCGTCCTATCCAATTTTTCATAAAGGCTCCAAGAATATAGATGTGCGTCACCATTTTATTGGAGAAACCATTAAAAGTTGTAAGATAGAAGCTAAATATCTGGAATCGAGTGAGATGCCAGCGAATCTTGACAAAAGCTTTAGGGTCAACTAAACATTGTAAATTTACGAATTTGTTGGGTCTACATAATGAACAGATCAGTTTTATCCAGTGGAAGCAACAAGCGACCCTATGAAGTATGGTATGAAGGCAAACCATCGAAAGTGTGTATTATTCTCATCTGCATAAACCAAAGAAAAGAAAGCTTTACTAAAAGGCTGTCAAAAATGTTTTTGTAAGATGTGATGATAATGATGGTTACCGAATTTGGTGTTCGATTACAAAGCAGTTAATCATATGCAAAAATGTTTTTTTTCGATCCGTTTGGATCCAGAAATGAGGGGCTGGCACAATTTGTTTGTGCATTATGGTGTTTAATTTGTGAACAAACCGTGGAAACTAAAAGACTCAGTGGTCTCATCGGTTACCCATCCGCCTACCGCTGATACACATAATAATAATAATAATACAAAACTACCTACTATTATATTTTTTGGGACATGAAATTTAGAGAGATGTTGATTCTATCAAAATATAAGTGAAGTCAGAAAGGTGCTAGAGAGATTCAAGATGCAGAATAATTGCAAGCCAGTCTCAACACTAATAGTTAAGAAAAGGAAGCTCAAAAGTTTCAGTATACAGAAGCATTGATGTATCTCATGAGAGGTAGTAGGTAGTCGTCTTGATTCAATGCAGTTGGTATATGTTGTCTTAATAATTCAAAATCCAAGCACACCAAGATTACAAGCGAGTAAGAATCATTTTTACCCTTTCAGCGTGTATAAACTGTATTTTTGAGCCAGTTTCTCTTTTTCCGATTATATACAATCTAGAATTTTGGACAATAAGTCTATACTAGTACCAAACTAACTGGGTAGTTTATTTTTGAGTTTAAGAAAAGCTTGAGCATCACTCCTGAAAGGAAACATAGGCTTGATTGGCCTTACAGAATACGCCCATACTTTCTCAACCTGAAGCATTGTTTATTGTATAAACATTTTTTTATTAATCTACCAAAGTTCCACCATTTCACCACTTCAATTTTCAACTCTATTTTTTAATAATTGCTATACTGTTATGTCCCAATTATAATTTCTTGAAATTTCCAATATGGTTTATCAATGATGATATTATAAGAACAGACATGCTCTAATTCAGTCAATTGTCTTACTTAAATAAATAAATAATTGTTTCAGCAAAAATTACAAAGTTATTTTTGCTGAAACATATACATACCCTATATAAGTCGCTGTTGTAATATGGATGACTCGGATCGTCTGGAGGATCAATGGGGGTGCCCGAATCACCTGAACTAGTCGAGCTAATGCTGTCTCGTCTGCCCAGCTATAAGCCATGCAAGTTAGACAAGGATATGATGAGAATTTATGAGAGTGCAATGCACGAATTAACGATTATACATATGTTTAGGGTGGCTGTTAGTTACCACACATTGAATGATTTTGAAAAAAATAATAACTTTGTTAATAAAAAAAAAATCAAATAAAAAAATAAATAAATAACCTGATCTCCTCCAACAACAGTACTAGTAGTCTTAACTTCCTGCGTTACGGTTCGTTGTTCCTGCCTGGTGGCGCTACTGGTCATAGAGTGAGCCACCGTTTTTTCTTCGAGTTGCTGGGTTTTCGCGTTGGTACCCAAATCTTCGTGGGTCGTTGCTGTACGGGTCGTTACAGCTCGGGCCGTTATGTACGGCGATTTACCGTCTTCCGTCAATGGTGCGTCGGCCTATACCGTGACGGAGGGAACAAAATAAGGAAAAGAAAGGTAAACAAAAAATAAAAAATTATAAGACAAAGCAAAGATAAAGAAAAAATTAAAAATATTCTGGATGTTTTTTTTTGGGTGTATTTTTATAGAAAATTCAATGTTGAAACAATTTGATTTTTTTTTTCAAAAATCGGGAAAAAGCCTCTCATAATAATTGTTTCAGAAGTAATGTAACTGAAATAATTTTGACATGTTTCATCCACCTCTCTTATTTCTTTATTAGAAGAAGTACCTACCCTACATATTTAGTTCCAGTGAAGTATTTTTTTTTTTTTGTATCAGCTGATGTAAAAGAGTCAGTCGTTTAGTGGCGGCGCTAGGCTCCTAAGCAAATATCACAATTAGCCCCCCTGGGTTTTATTAATGGCCAATTGTTCAGCTAAAAAAGCCAATTAGAAGCTGCAGAAGAAGAAATTTTGATTAATATCAACTTAAGAGCTGCTAATGATCATTCGAATTTTGATTATTATCGGCTCTTGAGCTTTGAATGCCCTTAGAAAAGTTCTCTAGCCAATCTAGAGTTGATAACAGTTCAATTTTTGACTATTACCAGTTCTGGATTGGCTCTAGGAAGGTTTTCCAAAGAATTAGGAATCGATAATAGTTCAAATTTTGATTAGTTCTGGCTCCTTTATCCATTGGACAATTTTTTTGGAGCAACTATGTGTTATGTCTGATAGACAAAATAGAAAGATCATACAGTCTATGCTGAGATGGAATTTCTCAAGTAATTTTTCAATATTTTTAATTTACTAAGGGCCAAATTATGGATTGACTGGTAAACGTCTGGTTGTTACCTAGCAGGTACTTTCTATGCTCTAGATAATAGAAAGTACCTGTTAGGTAACAACCAAACACTTACCAGTTGGTCCATAATTTGGCACTAAATGACCTTCCAGCGGTGGCAACTGGAAGGAATGTACCAGTTAAGTATATCAAGCGATTTTGGTCATTATAGTTCTCAATGTTATTTTAAAGCATTTTTATTTATTTTTTAAGTGTACTTAAAGGGGGTCCCCCTTCGTGCCTGAACCCCTAAGTATCCCTTATATCTCCTTATGTATATCGCCGCCACTGAGTCGTTATCAATTCAAATCTTGTTCATTAAACTTGTTGTCTATATAAACAATATACCTACACTTCAGTTCAGCTTCAAGGCATAAATTTGGAAATACAAGAATCGGATAAAACATGCAATCTAGTATCCCAGTATATACCTAAGTTTACAAGTTACACTACTATTTGATATTTCTCAAACACTAAATATAAAAAAAATAAATGTAGTGTTCATACACTTTAGTAAAAATAAATGATAAAAAAAACTAAATGTAACTCAATGAACAGCAGATAATAAATAACCAAAAAATAAAACGAAAACAATCATAGCGACGCTTAACTGCAAAAATAATCAAGAAAACATATTTTCACTAAAATGTATAGAACACTTTTGGATCAATCGCTTGTGAAGTTTCTGTTGGTTGAGAAATAAAGTGTTCAGAGTGTGTGCATACAAAAAACTATAACTTTATTAATGAGAGAACTTTTCTCTCAATTTGTGAAACCAAACTCAACCAAAAATTACTCAAAATATACAACTGACACTTAACATATGATTGATCCATTATTGTCCCTAAATCAAAAACAAAAATCATCATTACCTTATTCACATGTGTGGAAACTTTAATTTCCCCTGTTCGTCCATCTTGCACTCGTTCCTCGACGTTTTGCGTCACTCCATCTTTGTCTTTCGTTATAATTTGTTTAGTGGTAGTTTTGACAATCACCGGGGTAGTGGTTGTACTAGTGGCAACTCCCTTGCTAGTAGCACCTTTAAGGTCCCTGAGACTTTCCGAAGCGTATTCGTTAAGGTCGTCGTCGCTCGACTCGTCTTCGCCTTCTTTGAGGAAAGTTTTGACGCGTACTTTCGAATCTTTGAGGTCTGAAAAGTGGCTGGGATCGATCTGAGCATAATTGAGAACTAATTCGCCAGTAACTGGATCTCTACGAGCTGTATTGGGATCGATGTCTCCTGTTTGAGGGTCGATATGGCCCCATTCCGTATGGATTTTTCCAGTAACTGGATCAATTTCACCTGATAAAGTTAGCACCTGAGTTATTTTTGTATTAGCACTCTTCACTAGAGGATCATTAGCGTCGACTTGAACAATTTTTCCTGTTTTTGGATCAACCATACTGTAGATATAAACAGTTTGAGTGCTGACATTGATAATTCTTCCAGTTTTTTCATCAAACTGACAATCTTTGGGATCAATTTCTTTGACTTTTCCTGTAGGGTCATTTTGGGTGATCAAGTATATGCGTACAATAACCATTTTGCCTGTTTTGGGATCGATTTTGCCATATTTGGTATAAATTTGCCCAGAAGCTGGATCAATTTCTGAAACAGAATACAATGGAGCTCCTGCTTCATCAGTTTGATTGGTTCTAGTGAATATTTGACTGGTCTCTGGAACCACTTTGGTAGTATTATGATCTACTTTGGACGTTTTAGTTATATTTCCAGTTTTGGGATCAATATATCCATAAACTGCAGTAACGTATCCTGTAGTAGGATCCACATTTCCCGTAGTATAAACATCTTCTTTACTCACAGGATCATTATAATCAAACACCCAAATTTGATTCGATTTTGTATCAATTCTTACAGATTTAGAATCACGTTTAACGATCTCACCTTTGTCGTTGACTTTTGGATCAGTAATCAAAATACCCACAAGCCTTCCAAAGTTAGGATCGCTCTTGCCAGTTTTAGGATTAGTATACCCTCCTTTAAACAAAATTTGTCCAGTTACAGGATCTACAACACCCTGTTTAATTTCGTGTTTTCCGCTTTTTGGATCTATATGAGTCAATGTAGCTTTGACAGGATCAATTTGTCCATATTTAGTGTCAATTCTGTTTGTAGAAGGATTATAGAGACCGTTTGAAACTTCTGGAACGACATTCTTTGAGTCAATAATGTTCTTTTTACCGTCAACTTTGCCTACAAATGTTAGTACTTGCACTTCCGGATCTACTTCTTGGCCTAGTTTGATAACTTGACACAAATCTGGATTGACAGTATCTGTTTTAGGATCTTTGACGCCTGTAGGGATTAAAATATTGCCTTCGGCATCAATTTGTATAGGTCTAGTTTCTAATTTGCCAGTTTGAGGATCTTTTGTAGTGATTCTTAAAAGTTTCAAATTGATGATGCCATATTTAGTTTCAATTTCTCCCGTAGCAGAATTCTTTTTTGCCTTTGAATGTTCCATTTGGCCATTACTAAGATCAATAGAACCAGTTTTAGGATCAACTTTAGTTGTAATAGTTGTAATTTCGATTACCGGATCATTTTGTCCAGCAATACTTATAATTTGACCTAGAGAACTATCAACTTTGCCAGTTTTAGGATCAATAATTCCTGAAGCTAAAATAATTTGTCCGTTTATATCATTCACTTGTGCCAGTTTAGCATCTACTTTGCCAGATTTCGGATCGTTGATAATCAATTTGCCATTCTTAGGATCAATGAGCCCATATTTGGATTCAATAAGGCCAGTTTCTGGATTTAATAGAGCAGTGGATTGTTCCACTTGTCCTTTTTCAATATCAGCTTTACCAGTTTTAGGATCAATTCTTGTTGTAATAACTGTAATCTTGATCATTCGTTTTTTAGGTGTTGGAGCTGCATGTGGATCTTGAGCTTGTTTAAGTCCTACTACGGAAAATACTTGACCCAAGCCAGCATCAGGTTTGCCAGTTTTCGGATCTACCACTGGACCTCCATTAATGATAATTTGTCCTGTAGATTGATCTACTTTTCCAGGAATAATTCCTCTTTGGCCTGTCGTAGGGTCGTTGGCAATAAGCGATCCTGTGGTAGGATCGATTTGGCCATATTTAGTTTCGATAAAACCTGTACCTGGATCAACAATGCCAGTTATATGTTCTACAGTGCCATTTTCAATATCCACGTTGCCAGATTTCGGGTCTTTCCTGGCAGTAATAACCATAATTTTAACTATCCGGTGTTTGGCAATAGGATGCAATACTCCAGTAATCACTTCTTTGACTGGTGATTTTTGTTGAGAACTGATTACTTTAGGTGGCGAAATTGGCTTTTTCAATTCCTCAACAACAGGCTTTTGCAACTCCTTTTCAGATGGTTGTTGAGAAGCAACTGGATCGATCGAAGGCTCAGTAATATGAACGGAAACAGCTCTACCAAGATCTTTATCAACTTTTCCAGTTTTGGGACTAACAAATCCACCTTTAAATACCAACTCTCCAGTATTAGGTTCAATATGGCCCGGCCTAGTTTCAGCTTTGCCAGTCTTTGGATCGATAATCGTTAAAGTTTCGTTTACAGGGTCCAAATGGCCGTATTTGGTATAAATTTTATTTTTATCTGGATCATAAAGACCTGGGCTCGATTCTGGAACAGCGTTTTTGGATTCGATTGTGTTCTTTTTGTTGTCAACTTTACCAACAAATGTTCTAATTTCAATTTCTGGATCTACTTCTGGGCCTACTTGTATTAGTTGTACCATATTGGGATCAGCTTTATGGGTTTTTGGATCTACAATTCCTGAGGAAATTATAATATTGTCATCTTTGTCGATGGTTATAGGTCTTTCTTGAACGAAGTTGGTCTTTGGATCGCGTGTAAAGATTCTCATTAATTTCAAATTGATTGTTCCTTGTTTGGTAACAATCTCTCCAGTTTCGGGAATAATTTTACCGTTAGTTGTTTCGGTTTTGGCATTGATGAGGTCCAGTTTTCCTGTAGGATCTTTTTTAGCTGTAACAGTAGTGATAACTACAGCTGGGTGTTGGGGATCAACAACGTTAATTACTTGAGACAAATTGGCATCAACTTTGCCTGTTTTTGGATCCACAATGTTGTCGTTTATAAATATTTGTCCACTGTTTTCGTCAACTTTGATAGGAGTAACAGTGGTTTTACCAGATTTATCTTTTTGAATAACTTTATTGTTGTGTGGATCAATTTTGCCATACTTTGATTCGATAATGCCACTTACTGGATCTACTGTAGCAGTTAACTTTTCTACTGAGCCTTTTTCGGTGTCAATTTTTCCAGTTTTAGGATCTTTCTTGCTTGTGATTACCAAAATTTTAATGACTCGTTTTTTGGGTATAGGATGGCTAGGCAAGGCATGTTTAACAGGAGTGGCCGAGCTACCATAATCTCCAACAACCGTGATAACTTGCCCCAAATTAGGATCGCGTTTGCCTGTTCTTGGATCTATTACTGGACCATTAGCCAACACGATTTGGCCAGAAGTTGGATCTATTTGTCCTTGAACAGTTTCTTGTTTTCCTGTAGCTGGATCAGTGATAGTAATGGTAGCTTTCTTCTGATCAATCAAACCATATTTGGAATCAATTTCGCCTGTAGGATGTAGAATGCCTGCTGATTGATCTACGTGGCCCGATTCCAAATCCAAGTGACCTGTTTTTGGATCTTTTTTGGCTGTTATTACCAATAATTTGATTACTTTGTTTTTGTCTCTTGGAGAAATAGCAACTGTAGGAGGTAGTTTTACAGGAGATACTGGCACAGGTTTTTTAGGTTCCACACTTCCAGCAACAATACTTGGATCCACTTGGGGTTCTTTTAAAGACAATCTAATGGTTCTTCCATAAGAATTATCAATTTTGTTGATTTTAGGATTGACAAGACCTTTGAAAAGTACTTCTCCGGTAGCAGGATCTCTGTGGCCTTGTTTAAGTTCAGTTTTTCCAGTTTTTGGATCTGTGACGCTCAAAGTTTCATGAACCGGATCAAATACGCCATATTTAGTGTAGATTTTATTTGTACTGGGATTCAACAGGCCTGTAGTTTGTTCCGCAGGCGACACTGTTTTTGGATCCAGGCCTTTTTTGTCTACTTTGCCTGAAATTGATGTAACAAGTACTTCAGGCTCCAATTCTCCAGCAATTTGCAATATTTGACTCAAGTTATTGTCTCTGATTCCTGATCTAGGATCTATTACTCCAGCTAAAACAATGACATTGTCATTGGTATCAAATTGCACTGGATGTTCTTCGATTTTTCCAGTTTTCGGTTCTCGCGTGCTAATAGTTTTTTGTTTGCAGTTAACTGTTCCATATTTGGTAACAAGGGATCCAGTTTTAGGATCAATTTTTCCATTTGTAGTTTCTTTATGTGCCTGTGTAGGGTCTAATTGGCCAGTTTTAGCATCCCTTTTAGCTATCACTGCTGTCACAGGAACCACTGAATCGCCATAAGCTCCTATTTTGAATAATTGTCCAAAAGTATTGTCAATTTTGCCAGTTTTTGGATCGGTGACTCCTTCTTCTACAATAATCTGACCAAGACTTTCGTCGATTTTAAGCGGCCGAGTTTTTTGGGAAACAATTTTTTTGCTTTTAGGGTCAATAGTGCCATATTTAGTTTCGATCTGACCACTTTGAGGATCCAAGATAGCATCAATAGTTTCTACGTGGCCTTTTTCAGCTTCAATTCTGCCAGTTTTGGGGTCTTTTTTAGCTGTCGTTACAGTGACTTTAATAATACGTTTTTTGGGCACTCCAGCTAAGGCATTTCTGGGAGTTTGCTCTGTACCGCAAATAGCTATTATTTGGCTCAAGGTTGAAGATTTTTTTCCAGTTTTTGGATCAATGACCGATCCGGAAGTAATAACTATTTGCTTGGTGATTGGATCGATATAGCCTTGTACGACTTCCTTTTGGCCTTGTACTGGATCTGTAACGATGACAGTACCATTCGAAGGATCGATTAATCCATATTTACAATCAATAAGGCCGGTATCAACGTTTTGTTGTCCAACAGCGGTTTCTGAGGTGGCATGATCCAAGTCGACGCGGCCAGTTTTTGGGTCTCTCGGTCCAGTGATGACGAATAATTTTATAGGTCGTTTTTTGCCTCCTCCGAGTACTACAGGTGGGGTACTAGCGGCGGTTTTGATAACTTTGGGGTCTTGCTCGTATTGTTCTGCAGCTAAAAATTTTCCCGTATCAGCTTTTTCATCTTGCATCTTCAGCTTGCAAATATCACCTGGGGCATAGTTGAAAGCTGTAGCTGTTGCCCGCTTAGTAGAAGGTGATTGCTGATTTTCAAGATCACTATTTCTAAGGCTCGTAGGTGATTTTTCATAGCTGAAACCTTGCGTGTAAGGCCTCCTGGGACTTTTTTCGTCATCGGCTGCCTCATAATCGTATTCTTTTGTGTAACCAGGGAGCTGAGGAGAACCAGCGGAAGCTGCCACTTTTTCTTTTTCCTTTTTATCTTTGGGCGGAGTTTTGTCCTTTTTGCCAAACAGGAAGCCGGGACTCTAAATGGTGGGGAAAAAAGCAAAGGGACATGCTTAATACATGCACAAAACTACTTTTAATAGATTACGAAAGCTCAATATAATCACTTTTGGCGTCTAGAATACGATTTGTACAAGTCAGTTGATTCTGATTTTATGTAAAAATCGTACAAAATTTAAAAAACATCTAAATATATAAACTATTCTATGACACACATAAAATTTATCTAAAATAATACACGATTTTTGCAAACTGATTTGATCAAAACATAAAAAGATTCTTACCTTTGATCTCTTATCCTTGGACGCTTTTTCGCTATCATTGCTAGAGTTCAGTTGGTCAACATCACCACCGTTCTGCAAGTTGTTGCTCTGGTTTTCCTTGTCTTTATCATTGTCTTTTTTCTTGCCAAATATTCCACCAGATGGTAGTACTGACACACCACCAATCGGCTTCTGTATTGATTTTAAAAAAATATAGAATTTTAATTTGTGTTGGAAATATATACAGGGTGGTTTAGTTTGAATACTTTTAATAGGCAACGTCAATTTTTGAGTGACACTGGGGATTAATTTTTTTGTATCTCAGAAATTGACGTATCCTGTATTAAAAGTGTTCAAATTGGACCACCCTGTACATACAAATATCGAAAGGAAAAAAATAGATATACGTTACGAAAGCACTATCATAGCCAAAACTAAAAGAGAATGGAGAGATTGCAGGATAGAAACACTCTCTTACTAAATTTCACATGCCACATGTAAGACAAAGGAAAACTGCTGTATTGCTATATTTGTTTGTTAGATTTAACCTAGGAGTAAACCACCTTGGAATTATAGTGTACAAGCATGAGATTTCCTAGTTCAAAAATTAATTGCAAAAATGAGCACTCAACACACATTTTGTCTCACAACTTTATTAATTTCAATCCGATCTTAATGTAATTAGGCTTCAATTGAAGTCAATTAAATTCTCTACAAATCTCTTCTGAATAATTTCAATGCCACTTCAATAGTTTTGCAGCTGCAATGCTTCGAAGTCTTTCGACTTAAGATTTTTATTCAAAATGACACCAACACACATTTTGTCTCAAAACTTTGTTAATTTCAATCCGATCTTAATGTAATTAGGCTTTAATTAAAGCTAATTGAATTCTCTAGAAATCTCCTGAAAATGATTTCAATGCAACTTCAATAGTTTTGCAGCTGCAAGCTTCGAAGTCTTTTGACTTAGATTTTTATCCAAAATGACACCAACACACATTTTGTCTCAAAACTTTGTTAATTTCAATCCGATCTTAATGAAATTAGGCTTTAATTAAAGCCAATTGAATTCTCTAGAAATCTCCTGGACATGATTTCAATGCAACTTCAATAGTTTTGCAGCTGCAATGCTTCGAAGTCTTTTGACTTAGATTTTTATCCAAAATGACACCAACACACATTTTGTCTCAAAACTTTGTTAATTTCAATCCGATCTTAATGTAATTAGGCTTCAATTGAAGTCAATTAAATTCTCTACAAATCTCTTCTGAATTATTTCAATGCCACTTCAATAGTTTTGCAGCTGCAAAGCTTCGAAGTCTTTTGACTTAGATTTTTATCCAAAATGACACCAACACACATTTTGTCTCAAAACTTTGTTAATTTCAATCCGATCTTAATGTAATTAGGCTCTAATTAAAGCCAATTGAATTCTCTAGAAATCTCCTGAAAATGATTTCAATGCAACTTCAATAGTTTTGCAGCTGCAAAGCTTCAAAGTCTTTCGACTTAGATTTTTATTCAAAATGACACCAACACACATTTTGTCTCAAAACTTTGTTAATTTCAATCCGATCTTAATGTAATTAGGCTTTAATTAAAGCCAATTGAATTCTCTAGAAATCTCCTCAACATGATTCCAATGCAACTTCAATAGTTTTGCAGCTGCAATGCTTCGAAGTCTTTTGACTTAGATTTTTATCCAAAATGACACCAACACACATTTTGTCTCAAAACTTTGTTAATTTCAATCCGATCTTAATGTAATTAGGCTTTAATTAAAGCCAATTGAATTCTCTAGAAATCTCCTGAAAATGATTTCGATGCAACTTCAAAAGTTTTACAGCTGCAAAGCTTCAAAGTCTTTCGACTTAAGATTTTTATTCAAAATGACACCAACACACATTTTGTCTCAAAACTTTGTTAATTTCAATCCGATCTTAATGTAATTAGGCTTTAATTAAAGCCAATTGAATTCTCTAGAAATCTCCTGAAAATGATTTCGATGCAACTTCAAAAGTTTTGCAGCTGCAAAGCTTCAAAGTCTTTCGACTTAAGATTTTTATTCAAAATGACACCAACACACATTTTGTCTCAAAACTTTGTTAATTTCAATCCGATCTTAATGTAATTAGGCTTTAATTAAAGCCAATTGAATTCTCTAGAAATCTCCTGAAAATGATTTCAATGCAACTTCAATAGTTTTGCAGCTGCAAAGCTTCAAAGTCTTTCGACTTAGATTTTTATCCAAAATGACACCAACACACATTTTGTCTCAAAACTTTGTTAATTTCAATCCGATCTTAATGTAATTAGGCTCTAATTAAAGCCAATTGAATTCTCTAGAAATCTCCTGAAAATGATTTCAATGCAACTTCAATAGTTTTGCAGCTGCAAAGCTTCAAAGTCTTTCGACTTAGATTTTTATTCAAAATGACACCAACACACATTTTGTCTCAAAACTTTGTTAATTTCAATCCGATCTTAATGTAATTAGGCTTTAATTAAAGCCAATTGAATTCTCTAGAAATCTCCTGAAAATGATTTCAATGCAACTTCAATAGTTTTGCAGCTGCAAAGCTTCAAAGTCTTTTGACTTAGATTTTTATCCAAAATGACACCAACACACATTTTGTCTCAAAACTTTGTTAATTTCAATCCGATCTTAATGTAATTAGGCTTTAATTAAAGCCAATTGAATTCTCTAGAAATCTCCTGAAAATCATTTCAATGCAACTTCAATAGTTTTGCAGCTGCAAGCTTCGAAGTCTTTTGACTTAGATTTTTATCCAAAATGACACCAACACACATTTTGTCTCAAAACTTTGTTAATTTCAATCCGATCTTAATGTAATTAGGCTTTAATTAAAGCTAATTGAATTCTCTAGAAATCTCCTGGAAATGATTTCAATGCAACTTCAATAGTTTTGCAGCTGCAATGCTTCGAAGTCTTTTGACTTAGATTTTTATCCAAAATGACACCAACACACATTTTGTCTCAAAACTTTGTTAATTTCAATCCGATCTTAATGTAATTAGGCTTCAATTGAAGTCAATTAAATTCTCTACAAATCTCTTCTGAATTATTTCAATGCCACTTCAATAGTTTTGCAGCTGCAATGCTTCGAAGTCTTTTGACTTAGATTTTTATCCAAAATGACACCAACACACATTTTGTCTCAAAACTTTGTTAAATTCAATCCGATCTTAATGTAATTAGGCTCTAATTAAAGCCAATTGAATTCTCTAGAAATCTCCTGAAAATGATTTCAATGCAACTTCAATAGTTTTGCAGCTGCAAAGCTTCAAAGTCTTTCGACTTAGATTTTTATCCAAAATGACACCAACACACATTTTGTCTCAAAACTTTGGTAATTTCAATCCGATCTTGATGTAATTAGGCTTTAATTAAAGCCAATTGAATTCTCTAGAAATCTCCTGAAAATAATTTCAATGCCACTCCAATAGTTTTGCAGCTGCAATGCTTCGAAGTCTTTTGACTTAGATTTTTATCCAAAATGACACCAACACACATTTTGTCTCAAAACTTTGTTAATTTCAATCCGATCTTAATGTAATTAGGCTTCAATTGAAGTCAATTAAATTCTCTACAAATATCTTCCGAATAATTTCAATGCCACTTCAATAGTTTTGCAGCTGCAATGCTTCGAAGTCTTTTGACTTAGATTTTTATCCAAAATGACACCAACACACATTTTGTCTCAAAACTTTGTTAATTTCAATCCGATCTTAATGTAATTAGGCTTTAATTAAAGCCAATTGAATTCTCTAGAAATCTCCTGAAAATCATTTCAATGCAACTTCAATAGTTTTGCAGTTGCAAAGCTTCAAAGTCTTTCGACTTAGATTTTTATCCAAAATGACACCAACACACATTTTGTCCCACAACTTTGTTAATTTCAACCCGATCTTAATGTATTTAGGCTTCAATTGAAGCCAATTAAATCCCCCCTACAAATCTCCTGTCAATGATTTCAATGCGACTTCAATAGTTTTGCAGCTGCAAAGCTTCAAAGTCTTTTGACTTAGATTTTTATCCAAAATGACACCAACACACGCTTTGTCTCATAACTTTGCTAATTTCAATCCGATCTTAATGTAATTAGGCTTCAATTGAAGCCAATTAAATTTTCTACAAATCTCCTATGAATGATTTCAATGCAACTTCAATATTTTTCCATAATGAGATCAACAGTAGAACTCAGTTTACTCATGAAATGTACTTTTTACTCATCAGTTCAGATTTTAATTAATTTTCAGTGGAATTCCAGTGGGATTCTGTGGAATTCCAGCAGGATTCCAGTAGGATACGATGGGATTCAAGTAAGATATCGTGGGATTCCGTTAAAAGTGGGATTTTGTTGTACATACACATTTTTCAAGGTGGTTCACCCCTCGGATTTAACTGATATTTAGATTTTGTCGCGCCCTTTTTGGTGCATGGATGAATAGGATTTTTTATGTAATATTTATTTATTTATTTATTTATCGACGGGTCAAGCCCATTTACAATACATGATGTACATGTTACATCGATATAAGATCTAGGGATATCTTTTTTTCAATAAATTTAGTAATATTATACGTAGAATAAACCTTTAGAGAGGATTTATAAGAAGACATTTGAAATATGTTTCCAAAGAAAAATAGAGCACAGGTGTTTTGTACAGGGTGAACCAAATTTAAGATATCATTTGGATTTCGTGTAGACTTCCGAAAAAAAGTATTTTATTCCAACTACGGCAAAATTAGGGGAAGGGACAAAATTTACACTAAGCTTGACATCAGTTTTCTCTAGAACCCTCCGCTCGATTTCGATGAATTTTTCACAGAATGTAGCTTGATTCTTCAGGAATACATCTGACGTTTTACCGTTATAAAATGATTCGTCTTTATATCATTTACAGGGATGGAAAGAAAGTCAATAATTTTTAGAGTTTTTTGAGACACCCTGTGAAGTTAACCACTCGAAATTCAGAACAGTTTTCAACACCAAATTGTAGCTTGATCTTTTCCGAGTATTTTCATTTTTTTATCCACTCTTGATATTTTCAATATTATTGAAAATATAGAGTTTCGAAGAAAAGGTGGATATTGACCTTAATTTTCTTTACATCGACATACGAATAGGATATAAAAATTTGTCGTTTTCCAACTTCAAATCATGTGTGTGAATGTTTACTTCAAGTTAAATATTGCTTGCAGTTTTACCTTTTACTGATCAATTTATTGTGGAAAGAATTCTCACAAATATATAGGGGCATCAGAAAGTCTCTTTTGTCCGTTCCCCTAATTTTGCCGGTGTGTGTATTAATGTTTTTGCTTTTTAAAAGACCAGATATTGGTCATTATTTCTTCTCTTTTTTTTTACAAAAAATACCAGCTAATAAAAGCATTTGAAAGCAAAATACTGAAACGACAACACCAAAAAGATAAAAATAATATACAGCAATAAACAGCAGAAGAACAAAAGAATGTTCAAAACAATTCCATACTAGAGTGGGATTATTTAAATTTGAAAACCAAGTATACAATGATCGAATTTTGTTATTAGATTTCTGGTTATTTTTATAGTGGACAAAAAAGTATGAAAATTCTTTTGAACATTCTTAGTTTTTTTCTTTTCAAACACACAACACCTTTTGGGCTTTATCAGCATCGTACTCTCCCTCCACGGAGCTTGCGGTGCTGCCAGATCTCACCGAACCAGAACTCAGTTTTCTGCCATGCTGATGGAAGGGGGGATGAACAGACACAAACACAAATAATGGATGATAATATTAGTGATGATTAAGGGTTAATAAAAAACAAAGGAAAGTACCCTCTACAAAATTGAATGAACAATTATTTTTAGGGTGAAGTACTTTCTTTTAAAATGATATAAATTTGGCCTTTGCTATGATCATTGTTATGCATTAAATCTTAGCGAATCCAAATAGAATTATTTTAGGCATGTGCCAACAAAAATTGTTTCTGATTTTCATTGCGACAAACCTCGAGTTAGCTAAATGTTGGTGCTATATTAGTTAATTGGTAAAAATAGCCTCTAATAGCTTGTGCTTTTAATTATTGCAACTACAATAATATTCTGTCAAGTGTGTTAAGTTTTAGTACATTTCAAAACAAATAATTAAAAAATCAAAATTCTCACCTTTTCTTTCTCCTTCTTTTCTTTAACTTTGGCAGGACTCTGATTGTCAATATCGGGAATATGATCGGGAGGATGTGACATTGTGTGTCGTTTGTTGGCTTCATTGTATTCGTCTTCAGGTCTAACACCACTCAAAGCTGTATGAAAAAAAAAGTGCTATTAACAATGAAAAACATTGTTTTGGATTGAACTCAAGTTTTGGACTTTTCACAATACAACCAAGACCAAAACAAGCTAAATTTCACTTTTCTTCAGTGTAACGTAAATGTGCATAACATATAACTAGAACTAAATAGAAAACAACAATGGAAATCCCAAACAAGAGTTTCAATCAAACATTTTATAACTTACGATCCATACTTCTAGAAGTCAACCTTTTCCCAGTCAAAGACCTTTCAAATTGCGGCGCTGGTCGATCAATGGGCGTTTTTTTAGTTTCGTAATGAGTTCTGCCAGAATACCTTTTGAAGCAAAAAAAGAAAACTATACAATTCCGATCAGAACAAAACTTTAAAACATTTACCTAAATTTGGAACCCAATCTAGGAAACAGCGAATTCTTCTGATTAACTTCAGGAGACATCAATCTAAAGAAAGTGTGATGTTCCACGCAAGTTTTCCACAATTTTTTAGCTGCTCTATGATTGGCCAATTTGAAACCAATGGTCGACTCGAATTGTTCGAACTCTCCTGGACGTATTTTGATATAAAAATTGTGTCGCTTGTAGCTAATTTTCAAGATTTTCGGCCACGCGAAACGGTTGATTCGCAACCGGTCGCGGTAAACTAGAAGCCCGGAAGCACATACACCTAACATAATATCAACCCCTTCTGAATCTTTGGCAGGATGTAAATCTACGCCGTACATTGCTAGTTTTTTAGCGTTTTCTAAATAGTGAAGCTCAGCTTCAGCTGGAGTCTGCTCCCTGAAAAAATGCATTACAAAATAACTAGAAATTAACATATATAAATTCTTACTTGTGCGTTTTGTGTAGCTCGCACACTTTATCTTCAAGATCTTGATTCTGACTGGGTGCTATTTTAAAGTCTTTCAAATATCCGCGGGGCATATGGTCAGGGTCGTAGTCACCCAATTCGGATTGGGCTAAATAGGAGCCCAACAGGGCGTGAGTTACGAAGGAGCAAGGCAATCGTCCGCTGAGGATGTCGTTGCGGATTTGGAGGCAGAGTTGGTATCTGAAAGAGACATTTAACATCATATAATGTTGATTATTGATTTAAATCCTTACCTAGTTATGTCTTCTTGTAGTTGAGCTGGATCGGGCGGATAAAATTTCACTTCAAAACTGAATTTCCACGGTTCATCTATTGAAAATAATTAAATTAGTTTTCTGATTGTTTGTTTAATATTTGATTTTTACTTTTCATAAACTTGGCTATTCTCTTGTCTAATTCCAACCAATTCCTTGGGTCGTGTCGATCCGCATACACCAAACCGAAATAGTCTTTTTCGATGAGGTTGATTGCTTCACATACTTTGTCGAGAAGGTCTTTTCCCTTTGATTTTCTCTGTGGAATTCAAGAAGATTTAACATCCAATAGCTTGAAAGATCTCTAGACAGTAATACAAGTATTGAACAAGCTTTCTGTTTAAGGGGTTGCAGAAAGCGTTTCATTCATCCAATTTTTTCATGGATTCTCTAGATCGAATAAAATATTATTAAATTTGACTTACATCCATATTAAGGGTCAATATTGATCCGTCGAGCATAGTAATTTCCGTCCACTCAAACAGACCATTTTTGCTGCCTTTAACATCTTTCGATGTTGCCAGCTTTTTAGCTGGAGACGCTTCGCTGTCTACTGCTGGTTTATTTTCTTCAGGCATCTTTGCCTAGTATTCTGAAATTAAAAAAAAAATTATCAACTTATGCTTGCATGTTTACTTGAAATGTTCCCATGCGTTGAGAAAAATAAACCTAAATTAATCCAATTGTTACGAGTTTGTATGTTGGTTTAATAAAGCAAATGACAATTTTGTAATTTCCCATTGTTAAAAGTTATGTGAAAATAAAAACTACATAAACTTGAAGAAGGAAAGTCTTAAATTGATTTTAGGTGTTATTATTTCTAGTTCACAAAGAAACACTAATGCATCATATAGGAGAAAAGTTTCCAAGGCAACAGACACACTCTGAACTGAAAGGCTCAATATAATTTTCAAAGTTTCCCTTCGTGCCTCTCGAGACGATGGAACTTCTACCTATCGTGGTTAATGAGTGTCTGGCTCCCCTATTTTTCTTATGAGGGATGTATTAATAAAAATTTGCACAAATTGCATGTGCTTGTACATTTTTCCTTTTTATTTCAAGTGTTTTACACGCAAGCAAATAATTAAAGCGGTGACAAATTTTCACGCTTCGCAAGGTTTTATTGATGACACTGGGATGACCCATTTTTTAACTTCTCACTGTCACGCCCCAATAAACTTTATGAACTGAAACAACGTATGGAATTTAAATGGAGCTAGTGGGATATTTGAAATTTTTCTATGACAATGTTACACCAATTATTTTTATTATATTCGTTAATTGAGCGTTACATGCTGACGATATTCATTGTATTCACGCTATTTGAGTTGATTTATTGTTTACACCTTCATTTGACATTTGTGAATCAGAAAATTTTAATTTTTAATCAGCAGTACGTTTATGTATGGATTACAAATTTGGAGTCAATGAAAGATTAATTCATGCTAATCAGCCTATAAGATATATTGATGATTATTCTCAATGGTGATAAACTCGGTTTTTATGAAGCTTCTTTACATTTGAAATTTGCTGAGAAAAGCACTTCCTCAAACTATTTCTGCACGTGCTGTTTCTGTTCGGATTTGACTATTTTGTAAAATGCAAGGAATTTTTCCAGATAAAACATTTAGTAAACTAATTAATTTTTCATCAATTTTATCCACTAAATTGCAAAGAAATCTCACAATTAATCCAATAGAAATAAATGAAATCATTTTGCGTTGAACCTCACCTTGGATAAATATTATAAATTTGCAATTAGTAATTTTTCTCAGTAAGATAAAAATTGCTTTCCAAATATCTTATCGAGTTGAGTCATATCCATGTATGTACACAAAAACCAAAAAAATTAATAAAACGCAATCTACGTGACAATCTAACAATACACTGATTTCATATTAAAACCTCCAGGCACGTTTTTGCAATAGATTTTACCATGGCGTGAGACTATGCATTTAACCTGCGGTTAGTGCATTCCGAAAGTTGCATTTTGATCGTATGTTGTTGATAAATATGATTACTTTATTGGTGGTTAGATCGGGCATGAAAAAATCAACAGATTTTCCTTCTTTTTTACAACAATTTTCCAATCAAATGATAAAATTCAATTTATTATTTTTTTTCTTGATTGAAACATTCACAGTTGATCTGATAATCCTGAACTATTTATAATAATTGTCAAATCCTTGATTACTTAATTATTAGATTACTATGTTATAGGTAAACTTTGGTTATAGCAACAAGCGCAATAGGTTAATATTTCTAAAATATTAATTGTTTGAGGTAGGTACCTAATTATTCGAATTGCTTTGAAGAAAGAAAAAGAAAATATTATTATTATTATTGTTTAATTATTGTTTAATTATTGTCAGCAATATAAAGTGGTCTAAACCGATAAGCCTATTGCAATTATATAGATAATGGTTTTTCTTTGTACATGTGAGTTCAGTTGGATTATCTTTATAGACTGTGGTAATATTTAGGCATTATGGACTAAGGTTACATGTAGTGAGTGAGTTGATTTCTTAAGTTGTCCATTTCTTTATCCAGCGCGTTTTGGAAGGCGTTGACAGTTGGTGCATTGCATTTACAATAGATTCCTGAATGCTGTTCCATCTGTATACAACTCTATTGCTCAAAAACTTCTTTCTCAGAAGCAGATCAGATCTTTCTTTGTTGAGTTTCTTTGAATGGTAGCGTAAGCGTAGTTCTCGTGTATGGGAAATTTGGAAGAGTGCCAGAATGAATTTTGGGCTGAAATACCTCATTAGTACTATGAAGGTTTCAATGAGATCCCCTCTTTCTCGCCTTTCTCTCAATGTACTTAGTCCGAATATTTCAAGGCGTTTACGATATGGTAGGTGGCGCACTTCTGGAGGTATCTTGGTGATTCTCCTTTGGACCCGTTCGATAATATCTATGTCTTTTATATGGTAGGGGCTCCACAAAGCATGAGCATATTCCAGCTTAGGACGCACAAAGGCTTTATGAAGGCTTTTTATCATTTCCACAGAGTGGTCACTAAAAGCTCTCTTCATTAAGCACACTAGGGTGTTAGCTTTTTTAGTCAAGCATACAATGTGAGACTCCCATTTTAAATCAGAGCTAACAATAACTCCCAGGTCCCTTTGTTGGTTGACTTCTGCGACTACGCATGTTCCCATTGTATACTCAATTTTTGGGTTATTTCTACCCTACCGATGTGCAAAACAGTGCACTTGCTCTTGTTGAGGCTAAGCATCCATTTGTTGGTCCAATGGAATAAGCTGCGGAGATCTTCTTTCAGTTTCTGAGTGCCATGTGTTGGATTGCAATAAAGCTTTATATCGTCAGCAAAGTACGTGATACCAGACTGAAGGCCACTTCCTATGTCACTGATGTCAATAATGAAGAGTAAAAGGCCCAAGACAGAGCCCAGGTGCACCCCACTCAATGCTTTGTGCTACTCAGATAACACCCCATTTGCTCTCACTGTGAACGGTCTGCCTTGCAAGTAACTGGAGATCCATCGCAGTAAGCTACCCCTTACACCAAGGTGTCAAGCTTGTATAAAAGTCTTTGGATTGGAGCCTTATTGAACATCTTCTCAAAGTCAAGATAAACAACATAAACAGCTCCTCTACTATCCACTTCTTTTGTCCACTTGTTTAAACACAAAAGCAAGTTTGTGGAGGTGGATCGTCCTGGTAGAAATCCATGTTGGTCTGCAGGAATAACGTCATTTTCCAGAACAAAAATCTTGATTTTATCAGCCACAACCCTCTCCATTGACTTACATAAGGTGCATGTTAAACTTATGGGACGATAATTTCCAGGGTTGTGTTTGTCTCCCTTCTTGTAGATAGGCATTCTAATTGCCTTGGTCGACTCGTTTGACACTCTTCCATTAGGTTGCTCATTGCCGATCAGAGTGGTTCACTTAAACTGGCTGCTGTTTTATTAAAAAATATGGCTGAAATGTTGTCAGGTCCGGGGCTGGAGTCTATTTTAAGGTTTTTTAAAAATTTGCAAATCTCTTCTGGCGCAAATTCAATTGACGTTATTTGGGCAACTGAACGTTCACGTCGTTCACTTCCTAATCTTGGAAAATTTTGCACTGTTTCTCTGGTGGCGACTTTCCCAAAATGATTCGCCAAGGTTTCTGAAATCTGCTTTAAATCTCCAATTATATCACCGGTATGTCTTTTATAACGATAGATATAGAGTTTGAATTGAGTGTTTTTTTTTAATATAAAAATAGAATTGTTTATCAGATCTGTTGAGCAAACCGTGTTCATATTGTTGCTTTGCTTGTTGCAGCATATTTCTTAGTAGGTTATTTTGAGTTCTATTATCCTGGTAAGACTGGGGAACTTTGAGAATTTGGTACTTGTTCCAGAGGTTCCTCTTCTTTTGAATTTCTTTGAAGTGATGAGGGTATATCCACGGTTTTTGAGGATTTATTCTAGTATTTCGCAAACTTTGTTGAATGATGGTGTTTATATTTGCTATACATGTGTCCATGTTGTTTGGAAACTTCGTTTCAGATAATTTTTTGGTTTATATTGTCGTAATTGGCCTTCCAAAAATTACGATTCCTGATTTTTTTTGTTGAACTTGGTCTCTCGCTTAACCAGAGATTAAATTTAACTGGAATTTTTAATCATGGATTTAATTCAAAGTTGGTGTCAAATGATAGTTTATAAAAATCTAAGATAGGAATGTAAAATTGGTTTTCCTCTAAAATTAACCGTTCAGGTTTTACAGCCTGTCAAAGTTGCAAAAAGTCAATTTTCAACTGTCAATATTTCCAAAACAGTTGAACTTAGGTATAGGGTATATCACATGAAATCTGCTCAGAATTTTACGTAGAATCCAAATATGTAATCACATACAGGGTGTTCCATTTAAAATAGGTATGTTGCCACTAGTATAGAGTAGAAGCGGCAACACCGCATGGTCAAAAATATTTTTAAAGTGTAGATCATAGTCGTTTATCCCGGTTGCCAAATTTTCAAAATGATCCGCTTTTTAGTTCTCCATAAACGTCTAATACGCCATCCACCGTGGGAAACCCTATAATTAAAGTCTCCGAACACTATAGTGTTGGTCGAGAATTCGAACACTTGTTTAAGGTACTCCAAAAGTTCTCTGTTTGTTTCTATGGGTATGTCTTGTGGTCTGTATATGCATGCTAAAGAAAGCTTAAATTTTGTGAGTGTGATATCCAATAAAATCGCATCAGGCGGTTGGAATATTTGGTATAGGAATAATACTTCAGATACATTTGTGTTCAGTTTTTTGGATGGCTTTGTTTAACTTTGGTTATTCTGGGAGTACCATTAATAACTATAATTACAAGATCATCCTTTTTGTTTTTCCTTTCATTTAGCTCTTCACGGACTTGCTTTAGATATTTCCTCTGCGCTACCGTTTGGTTATACTTTATGTAAGTAGTAATTTTCAGAGAGTTTACTCTTTTGTTTTAAAAATTTGTGAGCTACTTGTCTTGATGTAAATATGACCTTAATTGGTCGAACTCTATCAGCTACATATCTACCCAATCTGTAGAATGTGAACTCAATATTTTTAGTATCATTCTGTAATAAATAT